AATCAAAATCCAGATAAGTATTTTTTTCTTAAAATAAGTGCATTTGTTCTTGAATTGAGGAGATAAAAGAGACATTTTGCCAATAGAACAAGATAATTTAGATTTAAAATAAGAAAACACAATTACATTGTTTTATTTGAAGTGCAAATTATCGAATTATCTAATTTTAGAGTAAAAATACTCATTCCATTGGCAAACTATCTAATTTACCTACTCATATCAAGGGTAAATACACTTAATTTAAGACATTTTTACTTATTTCTCGATCATTTTTCCAGTGTTGTCCTGTAACACAAAGGATTGTGGGAAACTATATCGGTGGTCGGGAACGTCAGGAGGTATCTATGCTAAAGGAAATGGTTCTATTGTGCTTCCTCTTCCTGGCTCCTTCCTTCCTGTCAGCACTATAACACTTAATATGGCGACTGCTGATGGTTGTCGTTTTTAGCTTAAATATTCAATACATCTGTGCTCCTAAAAATGAGTTTCTGCAAAGTATTTATTTTCTGTTTCAAAGCTGCATCTGTGGAGTTGATAAGTTGTGTTTGCCGTGTTCATTTGGGATTTTTAATAATGTTTTTTATTTAAGATGTCATTCTTTCATTTTGGGATGTGTGTAAGTGCACAACATTGCAGTTTAGTTTTTAAGTTTTATAAACAATGCAAATTCTCAGAATAATACTATAATAGAGACGCAAAACAAAGCTGTTTTTTTTTTTTTTAAATGAATAGATTTATGACGTGTTGCATCTGTTCCTGGGATGGAGTCATAAGCAGCAGTTTTATTTATTTTTTTATTTATTTTTGTGAAAAATCACAGTAATTATATTTAAATGGTTTTGATCTAGCGGTCACTCTGCAAAAACGATCTAAAAATTAGTAAAAATGTCTTGAATCAAGTGCATCTACTCTTAATTTAAGTAGGTAAATAAAATGATTTGCCAATGGAATGAGTATTTTTACTCCTAAAATAGGATAATTAGATAATATGCACTTGAAATAAGACAATATAATTATTTTTTCTTATTTTAAAAGTCAATTTTCTTCTTCCATTGGCAAAGTTTCTCACATACCCCCTGTAATTCAAGAAAAAATGCACTTATTTTAAGAAAAATAGCACTTATTGAGGTTAAAAATCTTTGCAGTGCAGATTTATGTTTTATGGTTCCATAAATTATTCGGCCCTTGTTTGGTACAACAAAGATGTTTGGCCCCCAAATGAAGCCAACCAACCTTTTTAAAAGTTAAATATGGATGATTACATTATTACACAGTATAAAAACAAACATGGCTATAACCTCCTTTAGGTTCAAATCCTCCAACTTTAATTGTTTCAAATTTTTGAATTATAATGTTAAACAAAATGAACAATTTTTTTTCAACACATGGAGAAAAAAAACCCTCTCAAAATGGATAATTTTTTCTGTTTATTTCTCGGATCTTGCATCCGTCCCCATGCATGCATGCTTCTAGCCTGGTGAGACCATCCTGATCTCGCGAGCTTTCAAGGTTTCACTCGCAGATCAGTCTGGAGACTCTCCGTTAAAGAAAATTTGGAGCCGTTCACCAAACGAACGTCCAATCAGCGTTGGCTTTGAGGCGGGTTGAGGTGTGACGCAACGAGAAGCGCGACAGTTCAGTCTAAAGAACATGGCGGCTTCAGCCGATGAAACTAGCGTTAGCGTGGCTATCGAGCAAGTTTTATGGGAATTACAGAGTATTTCTTCACTGAAAGAAGAGCAAAACATTGCTCTGGAGGCTTTTCTCAGAGGAAAAGATGTTTTTGCTCTTCTCCCGACTGGTTTCAGCAAGAGTTTGATCTATCAATTGGCTCCTCTTCGTCGTCGCTCTGTTAGTACGTCATATGCTTCGTTGATCTGATTGGTTTATTTGGCCCGTCTATCACCAACATAGGCCAATCAGCTAACCAGTATTTTCGCCCCTTCCCAAAATTACTTCAACGGAAGGTTTCCAGATGGATATGCGGAGTAAATCCATCTGGTGGAGTCAGGTTAGCATGCTTCTGTTAGCGGTTTGGGACTGGTAACAGGATCTGTTTTTTCTGCCAACATTCATCAACGGTCTTGATTCCGTACTAAAGGATCCATGAAAATCAGCATCACTGAGGAGCAGAGACCCGTCTGTCCACCGCCATGTCTACTGTCCATCTTCTGCTCCTCTGACTTCAAATCATGAAGGTATCGGCTCCAGGAAGGAAGCCACAGTTTACACCTCCTCCAACATCGATACGGGATTCCAGTTGTGCCAATTTTATAGAAACATGGCTCGCTTTGGTTCCACCCGGACTGGTTAGACCTTAAAGCTACAGTGTGTAATAATTACAGGGATATACAGTCAGAAATGTAATATATTATACATAACTATGTTATTTATCATCATCTACGAGCTCAGCCTCTTAACCTTAATATTTGCGTTGCCTTAGAATTCATTATTTATAATTACATAGGAGCGGGTCTCGCAGCCATGGAGGCAGACATCTTTGCGCTACGGCAGCGCAGAGCCAACAAACTAGCGATTGCGAGATCTCCCATTATGCTCGAAAGTAACTACGGCAAGTTGAGAGAGATGAACTGAGACGGTACTGAACAATAGATGGCAGTATTAAAATTATCTATGTAAACAAACCTCATCACTTGAGAAGGTAGGTGATGCGGACGTCGTGGAAGACATTTTGTCCCGTAACGCTCGCTGTACTGTTGGGGGGGAGAAGCGGTGGGGGGGGGATGTTCATGTTGCTGCGGTCTGCAGTCTGGACGCTAGATGTCGCTGAAAATTACACACTGTAGCTTTAAAAGCATCGCCACACCTCGCACATCTGCAGCACTATGGAGCTAAATTGGGGCCATAAAATCTGTTCAAAACCATTTTCTAAACTATCAACAAGTAAATAGAGTAGAAAAAAATATTTTTGAAACTAAAAGATTTGAACCTGGATAAGAAATTTAAACAAAAAAAAAAGTGAAACAGGAGAAAAAAGATTTAAAACTGAAAAGAAATGTTTAAAACTGCTTATCATATTCTTCTTATTTTCATATTTTATTTTATTTTTAAACGGTCTGTCTTTAGTAATAGGGGTGGAGCTTTGATGGCATGAGTTGTAGAAGTATGACTCACAGTTTATGTATCTGGATATTTCTAGCCGATACATTCAGGAACTGTGGGCACCAGAAACGTCTTAAAGGCATCGTTGCTATTCTCTTTACATATGATTGGTTTTTAAAACCAACATGCTTTAAAAAAAAGTTTTCAAATTATAATTTTTTTCAATTTAAAAACTTTTGGTTTTATAAAAATATTTTTCTCTTTCAATTTTTAGTTTTTCATTTTACAAATTATTTTCAGGTTTCAAATTCTTTTTTATTTTAGATAATTATTTTTTTAAGTTTTAAAATTAGTTTGGCCACAACTTAGTTCCATACAGCTCTCTCTAAACATGCCCCAGGAAATGCAGCTGTCGGGGTCTTCCAGATCCACAAACCTCTATGGACCAGACAATGGACTTCCTTCACCCTGCGATGGTAAAGATGGAGCCAAAAGGCTCCTTCTGAATCTGAACTCTGGACAGAAAATGAAATCTCCTCTGCAGGAATGTGGAGTAAACTTTCTCAGAAAGGCCATGAGATGTTAAAAAGTCAATCCTTAAAGGAATAGTACACCCAAAACATGATTAGCCTTCATTTTCTACTCACCCCCATGCTGAACAACACTCTGGAGTACTTTTTTGATATCTCAAACGCATCTGGAGATCTGGGAGGCTTCTTGCTGTCTGCTGACAATCAAATAATGGAGGTCTATGGCGCCCGAGGCAGAAAGGTCCATAAAAGTCCACAAAAAACGTGTCAATATTCCTCCATACTGCTCGTCCAATGTATTCCAAGTGTCCTGAGTGGGTAGCGTCCATAATTTACTCGAAACGAAGTCATTTAGAATGTTTTTAGAGCATAAACAGTAGTGTATAGGATTTCCTAAAAGCGCGTTCACGAGTCTACGGAAACCGCGGCAGACCAAACCAGATGAAAGTGCGCATTCAGCGTCTGCTCTGCCGGTAATGCAAGCGTAGAAGAAGAAATGTGCTGTTTACCTGTGCAAAGAAAGAAACAACGAAAGAAAAATGTCTGAGGACTTCAGTGTTGAGGAAGAGCATGAGTTCTTTGCCGAGCTGAATGCGCACTTTCATCTGGTTTGGTCTGCCGCGGTTTCCGTAGACTAGTGAACGCGCTTTTAGGAAATCCTATACACTACTGTTTATGCTCTAAAAACATTCTAAATGACTTCGTTTCGAGTAAATTATGGACGCTACCCACTCAGGACACTTGGAATACATTGGACGAGCAGTATGGAGGAATATTGACACGTTTTTTGTGGACTTTTATGGACCTTTCTGCCTCGGGCGCCATAGACCTCCATTATTTGAATGTCAGCAGACAGCAAGAAGCCTCCCAGATCTCCAGATGCATTTGAGATATCAAAAAAGTACTCCAGAGTGTTGTTCAGCATGGGGGTGAGTAGAAAATGAAGGCTAATCATGTTTTGGGTGTACTATTCCTTTAAGGACGGAGAACTCCAGCCCTGCTCTACTACTCCATGGATGTTAGGAGAAGGGAAACAGATCAACAGAAGCCCTTTAGTTTGTAAATTATTAAACCATATAAAAAATAAACTCAAAGAAATATTGAGGGAAAAAATGTATATTCCTGCCTCCAAAGAACAAAACATGATGGGGATCCTAACGAGAAGGAGTAGATGCCTCCATCTGGCCAACGAAGGAGTTGGTGAAGCAGAACTGGTTGATGAATCATGTCTTTAATGTCTGGTACCTGTGCACCCAATTTTCAGATGACGCCCTGGGCAAATGTCAAAGTGGCTCATATTGATCTTTAATGGTTTTTCTGAAAATAAAAACAGTTCTGCTTTTTTTGATGTGATGCTGTTGAAAAGATCAGATAGTAAAGAACGTCGACTCTTCTCTCCTCCTTCAGGCTGTGATGGTGAACAGCAGGGTGGAGGCGCCCACCGTGGCGGTGATGGGTGGCGGGGCCGGCGGGCCGGGGCCCAGCAGGTCGTGTGCAGGATGCGGAGGACGGATCTCGGACCGCTTCCTGCTCTTCTCCATGGAGCGCTACTGGCACACCCGCTGCCTGAAGTGCTCCTGCTGCCACGCCCAGCTGGGCGAGTACAGCAGCATCTGCTACAGCAAAGGAGGCATGATCCTCTGCAAGAACGACTACATCAGGTGAGCCGGATCTGCAGGTCTGTGGCAGAGAGCTACGTCTCTTTACACTTCCTGTGTTTGGAGGTGAAACCTGCCTCCATGTTTCTATCAGGAGATTCATTTTAAGGATGTTTCCTCTGGAACTGTTTGGATTTAATGTTTCAGATTGATGCAAATAAAACATAGAATCTGTCATTCAGACATACACTGCAAAAAATCTAAATCTAGATAAGTCATTTTTTCTTAAAATAAGTGCATTTGTTCTTGAATTGAGGAGATAAAATAGACATTTTGCCAATGGAACAAGACAATTTACACTTAAAATAAGAAATATGCTGATGAAGGTTCTCAGTCATCCAGGTCATAGTCATTCCGTAAAAATTCAAAAATATCCACTGGACTTGGTTTTCAAGATTTCAAGACGTTTCGCCACCTCTCCAGGAAGCTTTCTCAATTCAAATGTCGTTTGAACATTTGGAATAAACATTCTTTTTATTATTTAAAAAGTCAATATATAACATGGATGAATAAATACCTCATTTTATTTCATTGTTATAATTAAAAATGTCTCCAGACCTTTACTGGTTGATGATTTTCTTCATTCGGACCCGGATGATTTTTAATTGGTTACCCCTGATCTAGACAAGAAACGTTTCAATTATGAACTTTTTGTTTTCCGCGGTGTTGGAGTGTAGCCGTTACCTTGGTGTCTTTATGTGGATTAGAGTGTTACGCCCAGAAATGTCTGTTCTTCCTGCAGACTCTTTGGACACAGCGGAGCCTGCAGCGCCTGTGGACAGTCCATACCTGCCAGTGAGATGGTGATGCGAGCTCAAGGCAGCGTTTATCACCTGAAGGTAGGTGGCGTCCAATTAACCGTCCCGGTTTGCTCCGTGATCCCCACCTGATGCCTGACTCTTCTTTGTTTCTTCAACAGTGTTTCACTTGCGCCACCTGCAGGAACCGCCTGGTCCCCGGCGATCGCTTTCATTACATCAACGGGACGATTTTCTGCGAACACGACCGACCTGGGGGAGGTCTGCTGACCGGACACTCTGCTCCACTGCAGGCTAACGGCATCATGTCGGATCAGAAGGTCAGGTCTTTGTTTTAATACTGGATTATAGAATGACAATTGTTTTGGTCTGCACAGCCCAATAATGTTGTTTTTCTATCGACACCCCTTCAAACTACTTTGGCGCAGCTGGTTATTTTTTCACACATCGGACTACAGAAAATTCAACTTACGTGGATCCAAAGATGCTTGGGAAATGTTGAACTTGTGGTGTGATTTTAAAAGCTTTCAGTCTTTGCTCTACACTGCCCTCTAGAGTCTACTAGAATTTGCGCTCAATCTAAATACATAAAATTAGAGGTCCTACCTACTGTTCCCAGTTTCTATTTCTTCCGATTTTCCAGGCGTGCAAGAATCTTTTTGATCGGGGTGAGTCTCCGCCTTATAGTAGGTCGTGTAGTATACAGGGGGTAACGAGGCTCGATCAGCCTCTCACGACCACCTCCCGATCAGGAATCCTAAGGTTGCAAGAAAATCAACCATCTTTGAAATTAAGTCGGCCCTCATGACGTGTTCATGAGCAAATCCTGCTGTCGAACCAGAGATAAGAGCAGATTTACCAGAACTTGGCACACTACGCATGTGCAGGGTAGTTCTTCTTCCAGAATGACGGGTCCGACCAGCGCCATCTCTCTGCGCTGAATCCGACATGTGGTTTTTGGACGCACAGTGGGAGCAGGTAGATCACATCAGATCGTCGGGCCGTAGAGTGTGAGAACATACATCGTGAGCTGAGAACTTTAAACCCTGAGGTTTCATCGTATAGTTAGAGCTGTTAGCTAAGAACAATGATTTAATATATCCTACAGTGTATGCCCGACAGGAGGAAGCAGGTGTCTAAATTTGTAAAATTAGGTCAATAGCATAAATAAATGTAAGATTTGCGTTTTTTCCTTGCTGTCAACACATATATGATTGATATGGGTTTTTATCTGGTTTAGACATTATGAATACAAGTTGCAAAGCTAGAACTTTGCAAAATACAAGTACTGATCACAAGTATATGAATACAAATTAAATTTAGTGAGTCGCGGGCATTCTACACGACCCATGTACGGAGGCCTTAGTCCTTGACGCGGCCGAACCGGATTCAAATCGGACCTATGGTCCTTTGCTACACGATCAGGCTGAAAGTCGGCCTCATACGAAAAGTCGGCCCGAAAATCGTACAGTGTATGCCAGGCTTAAGGTTCTACAACTCTGATGAAGCTGCTGCACCCCTTACCAGTGGGTGGTGGTAGCACATCTGAAAGCTGATCATCAACAGCCTTTAACGAGGAGGAAGAAGAGGAAACCAAAATCATTGATTGAACGTATGTTCAATCTGAAAAACTCACATTAGGAGAAAAGACAATTAGAAGAAATTTATTGATACAATTACTTGGTCATAGGCGCTCAGACCTCGGCAGGAAACATGGTGCTGAATTTTGATAGAAATGCGTGAACAGGAGTAAAGATCAGGGCTGTTTCCCCCCCGGCCTGAAACTGGTGGTGGAGTGGAGATAGATGAAGTTGGTCAGTCTGTAGACTGCTGGTTGGAAAGACGGTCTGCTGAGCTTTATGGGGACATCTAGTGGGCTGCGTGAGCTGATACTAGAGCTTCACTCAGGGACCTGGAAGATGGAAGTCCAGTTGGATAACACAGGTTGAGAGAACCTGTCCATGATGAGCAAGCATGAAGAGACAGTGGAGAGGAAAAACTCCCCATTGGGAAGAAACCTCTGGCAGGTCTTCTGCTGGACCGTTTGAAATGAGACGCAAAATGCAGCAAGAGTCCTGGAGGAATGACGCTCTGATGAAGTTTTAGCTACGATGGTGGAGGAGGGGCTGGAGGTGGGTTGAAACTAACCTGACTCCGCCAGATGGATTTGCGCCGCATATCCATCTGGAAACCTTCCGTTGAAGTAATTTTTGGGAAGGGGCGAAAATACTGGTTAGCTGATTGGCCTATGTTGGTGATAGACGGGCCAAATAAACCAATCAGATCAACGAAGCATATGAAGTACTAACAGCCAAGCTATTCTTGCCGAAACCAGTCAGGAGAAGAGCAAAAACATCTTTTCCTCTGAGAAAAGCCTCCAGAGCAGTGTTTTGCTCTTCTTTCAGTGAAGAAATACTCTGTAATTCCGATAAAACTCGCTTGATAGCCATGCTAACGCTAGTTTCATCGGCTGAAGCCGCCATGTTCTTTAGACTGAAGTGTTGCGTTACTCGTTGCGTCACACCTCAACCCGCCTCAAAGCCAACGCTGATTGGACGTTCGTTTGGTGAACTGCTCCGAATTTTCTTTAACGGAAAGTATCCAGACTGATCTGCGAGTGAAACCTTGAAAGCTCGCGAGATCAGGATGGTCTCACGAGGCTAGGTTGAAACGGGGTCATCTGAATGAAGTCACATCGCGCAACCACCAACTGCGCACTTGGTATCAGATGAGTTGCGGATCGGAAGCCTTTTAAGATGAACTTTGGATGCTGATTGGCTTTCGTAGAGGTGTGGCTCAAAGCTGATTGGCTGCGTCGCAGGCAGATAAAGGCGAGTAATCAGTTTATTCAGTCGAACTTCCACCTAGGCTCCATTTCAAAATAACATTTCAGCAAATAAATCAAGAATGATCAATTATTTTCTTTTCGTCTAAAACGGGTAAACAGACACAGGATGTGTTTGATGGAGAGTGGTACTGTAGAAGATCTGAGGCTGAAGCTGGAGGTTCTTTCTTTCTGTTTTGGTGTTTCTGGTTCCTAATAATCTCTGATTTTTGTTGACAGGTCTGCTGAGGACAACGACATGAAACCACACGTGCCTTCTCCTTCCTGGTTCTTCTACTCATCTTCATCCTCCAACTGTTTATCCTCCTGCTCCTCAACAAAAACCCAGTGAACTGCTCTCTGCTGAGAAGGCTTTGAAGAGTCATGATGGACCAGTCCAAAGGACTGACCCCATTGCTGCTGATGAGCCCCCGGTTTGGCCTGAAGAGGAAAGACTGTCTGGCTTTAGGGGGAATCCAGCAGCCTCAAGTGGACTCTTGACAGAACCGGCTGCGCTACAACAGAAATGTGACGCAGACCTTGTTGATTATTGGTTCGATCTGTATACATTCTTGTTCTTGTAAATAAAGCTTGTTCCATCATCAGTTCAGGAGGCATCAGAGCATCCGTTCCATCCTATCAGATCAGATTTTATGAAAAAGCAAGGAAAAGGGGGGAAGTGTGGTGCGGATTTGAAACAAGTTGAGGTTTGACTTGTTTGGCTCTGTGGCCTCAGCAGTTAGATAAATGGACACAAACTCAAACCATCACCCCTCCACCACCATGCCTGATAGTAGGAGGCGTTTCTGCTAAATAGCTGTAATTCCTTTCCTCTTTACTCTGGTCCCATTTCTTGTCTTTTATCCAGATGCAGCTTTGCTAACTAAAGCCCTGCTGCCATCTTGATTCCAGAGCCTTCCTCATTTAACTCTACCAAACGGACGGGTTCAGGGTCTTTTCACCTGTTGAATTTGAAGGGGACATCTTACGTTTTTAGTTATTTTTTGCTGAATCTTCTGGGAAGATGTTCTCCTCGTAGTACTAATCATCGTCTCTGCAAAACTCCTGACTTCAGATGGTTTGGAGACGCGTTCATGACCTTCCCCATATTGTCAGGAAGTGACGGTTGCATCTATAAAGTCACTGCCGATGTCTTTTCGTCATGTTAACGTCCACCTGAAAGCTTCAGAGCAACAGACACAAAACCTGCTTCTACAGAGCATTTATTCAGCAGCTTCTGGCCAATATGTCCTCCTTCAATTTAAAGCAAGCAAACAAAAAAAGTTCTTACTTGGATTTGTATAGTTTTTAATCTATTTTAACCAAAATATCTGGTACCTGACACATTCTAACTGCCCTTTAAGTCCAACTCTTCTAGAAAGTAATGCAGACCTGATGAACTGATCGAGGTAGATAATTGAGCTTGGTCAATTCCTCTGTAACACAGGTTCCTGCGTCTTCTGTAGGCCGAGGAACCTTTGCACTCATGATAAACTGATGCCTGGCTCAAATTTGTCTACATATTGCTAAAATCGTTGTCTTTTCTCTAATTTAAGCAAGTGAATAAGACAATTTGCCCTGGAAGGAGGTGATTTTCTCTTACACTGCAAAAAATCTAAATCTCAATAAGTCATTTTATCTTAAGTACATTTTTTCTTGAATTGAGAAGGCAAGTGAGACACTTTGCCAATGGAACATAATTTACATTTAAAATAAATGAAAAACTATTGCATTATTTAAGATAAAAAAAATACTCATTCTATTGGCAAATACTCTTCTTTACCTGCCCAAATTAAGGGTAAATACACTTAATTTAAGGAGTTTTTCCTTATTTCTGTCTTTTTTGCAGTGTAGATAGAAAAAAAATAGTTTTACCTTATTTCCAATGCTTAATATCAAATTATCTTGTTAATTGCATAAATACATGTTCCTTTGACTGATCGTTCTATTTATCTGCAAAGATTAGAGGCAAAAAAATCTTATTTTAAGAAAGTTTGAAGCACTTTTATTGTAGTTTTTGGAGCTGACAAAATAGTCCCTCTAAACTCAACAAACAGGCTGGAAAGAAGTGATCTCTTTCTCTGAGTCCTCCGTGTGAGTGTTGGACCACACTGAGCCTTCGGCGCTGAGCTGGAGCCGCTTCAGGCCAGCAGCTGAGAAAGAAGCGCTCATGTTTCTTAGACAAACATGGCTGATTACCCACAGGAATGGGATTTCAAAGGCCTTAGCCGAGACCATTACAGAACCAATTAAAGTGGGATGTGCTGGAAGCCTACACGGGCTTTAGATGCACTCCTGTGTTGCAGCCTAATGAGGTCTAATCTGTTGAGCTGGTCTAATTAAAAAGGAGGGGAGTTTTTCTGTGGGCAGCAGGATGCTTGAGCCAGAGACCAAGAGATGATTTCAACCATCAGAACTTTGAGCTCTTCTTTTAACTCTTAGTTACAGCATCTAAACTTTGACTTCAGACTTTCTCTCCTCTTTTGAATCCGCTCTCTTTGTTTAAAGCTAAGAGTGAAGCATGCATCTGAAACTCCTCCCATTAACAGACCAGCAGAACCGAGCAGCTGCCTGACAGGGTCGGTCCAATTAGCTTTAGATCCTCGCCAACAAAGACGCTTTCATTCCTCCAAACTTATCTCCCAGAATCACATTCCTCTAGTTTTCCACTCATGACTCCACTGTAAACATCCCCCCCCCAGACCTCACATGAGAGGCCTTGGTCTGGACCACTCAGGATCTCCAATTATTTTTGTCTCTTGTGGGACAAGAACCGTTTTTCAGGTTCTTGTCCTGAGAATGCAGAATCATCAACTCTCTGCTGCAGAACTAAAATAGAGGAAATTGGTTTCCAATATGTCTGTGGAGTCCATCTGTTTTCCTCCCCCTGTACTCAGCCACCCATAAATAAGATCCAGACACCTAAACCGACAGACAGAGCAGAGAAGCCTGTGGGAACTCTGGAGGAGCTGCAGAGATCTACGGCTCTGATGGGAAGATGTAGACGTCTGAATGGACCCGCTCTGTTGGTTAGTGTGGAATAATTACAGGAAAATTAAACAATTTATCGCAACAAAAAATATAAATAAACAAAAAAACACCAGAAACTCTGGACTTCATTGATTATTATTATTTAATTTATTCCTTTTTTTTCTAATTTAATCATTAGAAAGATTATTCCTAAAATATAGATTATTGAAAGATAAAAAAATAGAAAAAAAAATGTCATTTTCTATGATGTGCAGATTTTTTGTTTGCAGGGACCAGTTTGGGCTCCACGGGTTCTAATGTGGGGGGATACCCTTCCTTAAACCAAACGGGCGAACCGCCGGGCCAAGAGGGCCGCGCCCACTTTTCAGATTTTGTTTTTACTCCTTTTTAAATTCTCCTATTTAAAGGAGGAGAATTTAAAACAAATCCCTAATACTGTTTTTTTACAAATACTTTAGGTTTTAAATGAACATTTTCAGGTGTTGCAATTTTAATGCGTAATGAAGGTTAGGAACTTTTAGAACATAGACTATTAGCATTACCCACCTTTAGCTTTACGCACCTTTAGATTTACTCTCTGCTAGCCTTATAGGTTGATTGGAATCTGTATTTAAATAGCACCTTTCAAGATAAAAATCATAAAGTAATTCAACAAGAATAACACAATTTAAGCAAATGCAGATTTTAAAAGATGAGTTTTAAATTGGCCTTTAAAGCAGAGGTGGGCAATTCCAGTTCCTGAGAGCCGGTAACCTGTAACTTTTAGATGTGCCTTTGGTTCGACACACCCGAATCAGATAATTATAATTATTATATTATAATTATATAATTATATATAATCGTCCTCTCTGCAAAACTGTTGACTTCAGATGGTTTGGAGATGCGTTCATGATCCTCCCCATATTGTCAAGAAGTGACGGTTGCATCTATAAAGTCACTGCTGATGTCTTTTCGTCATGTTAACGCCCACCTGAAAGCTTCAGAGCAACAGACACAAAACCTGCTTCTACAGAGTATTTATTCAGCAGCTTCTGGCCAATATGTCCTCCTTCAATTTAAAGCAAGCAAAACAAAAAAGTTCTTACTTTGGTTTGTATAGTTTTTTAACCATTTTAACTAGACTATCTGGTACCTGACACATTCTAACTGCCCTTTAAGTCCAACTCTTCTAGAAAGTGATGCAGAGTTGATGAACTGATCGGGGTAGATAATTGAGCTTGGTCAGTTCCCCTGTAACACAGGAAGGTTCCTGCGTCCTCTGTAGGCCGAGGAACCTTTGCAGTCATGATACAGTGATGCCTGCCTCAAATTGGTCTACATGCTGCGAAAATCTGTGTATTTTCTCTGATTTCAGAAAGTGAATAAGACAAGTTCCAGTTCTGGAGGAACTGACTGCATACTGAGGAGGTAACTCAGCCATTTGATTCAGGTATGTTGGACCAAGGATGGGTCTAAAAGTTGCAGGACAGCGGTCTTTAGGATATGGAATTGTCCACCACTGCTTTAAAGAAAGCCACGAGTCAGCTGATCTGATAGCAGCAGGAAAAACAGTATCGAGGAAAATATCGAGGAAAAACCTTTTTTCCTCGATAGTGGTGTAGGGATGTAGCAGTAGCATTCTGCACAGAGGCAGGAGTCCTACCGTGGAAATAAACACTTTTATTTAACCAGATTCACTTTTATGAGGCTAAAAAGACATAAGCTGCAGTGTTAGCATTGTGGCAGAATGACGGCTCTGTCTGGAACAATGACCCATTAAAGCCACTGTGGATCAGATATGCTTCAACTGATGGAGGGTTTATTTACTGCAGTTAAAGTAACGATGCTAATAAATGCAATCTGAGGTCTTTGTTATGTTTTTAGAAGGATTTTAAAGGTACGTATAGAGGACGATAATTTATTTCCGGGTTGATCATCTAAATAAATGGTCCTCCTAACTGTCCTCATTCTGGTGATATGTTTATGCGAGGCCGTCCTACGTGCTTGTCCTGTTAGCTATCTTTTTCTGAGCTCTTCCAGGCGTATATCTGTGGTGAGCTACGCTTATGTCATTGAATCTCACCTTTCTCACAGCAGTTCTTTGACAGATGGCCAAGGTTGTAAGAGAAAAAGTCTACAGAGTGTATGAGAAGAAAAGAAAAGGCCTCAGAAGAGGCAGATATATCCCAGAATGCTTTGCATGAAGAGCTCACCTCGCAAAGCACTATGGGATTTGCTGTCACACCGGTCCGCTGCTGCCATAGGCTGTCGCTACCCGACAGCAGCTACTAACAAAGATGTAGAGGCACCGCACACAGGAGGAGTTATGTGACCTACAAAGAAGGGCAAAGAGTAGTGACCATCTTACTGAACGGTCAGTTAACTCAGTTCCCTATAAAGTTCACTATAAAGTCCCCACTGTATTCAGACACAGTAAGTTTGTATGAGCTAAGAGAACCGCACATTTTAAACAGGGCTTGCACTAGAAGAAATGGCCTCATGCAAGCTCGTGCACGCTCGTGCACAACGTTCCTTTTTTTTTTTTAAAGGCACACTATGCAACATTTTTCAGTTAATTAATGTGTTCCATAACGTTTTGGATCATTAAATGAGTCATTTCAGGTTGAACAAAGGTATT